ATTCCAGACTTCCCCCACCAAGTGGGCATCCAGCCTCAGAATGAATGAAGACCTCCAGGGAGTGAGAACTCCCTAGCCCCTGCTGAAACCCAGTCTACTTCCGTCCCTTGTGGACAGCTCTCATTGTCAGGCAGTTTTCTCCTAATGCTAGATCTGCCTCTGCAACCTCCATCCACTTGATCTCTGACGCAGAAGTGTTATTTCCTCGTGCAAATGATGTTTTCGAATACTTGAAGACAGCTGTCTTGTTCTTTTATCTTTTCTTCCCCCCAACAACCCCAGGCTAACCATCCCCTGTTCCTTCAAACAATCCTCACAGGACATGATCTTGAAGCCCTTCAAAAAGGTGCTCTGCCTCCTGGGGACACTCCAACTTGTCAATGTCCTTTGGTCACATGATGGACTTTTGAAAGACCTGGGGATGCTTAGGCAGGGGCAGAGAAGATTTAAAGGGGGCATGGAAGCTGCTTGTAGTAGCCGGAGGGTTGACGTGTGGAAAATAGATTAGACTTGGTCTAATCATGTCTGATTCTTCCCTGCTACTAGATATGCTGGAAGCTCTTTTAAAGGCAGAGAATGTTTGATATTTGTGCCCTCTGCCCTTAGCAATCAATCAATCAATCAGTAAACATTTATTAAGCACCTACTATGTGCCAGGCATTATGCTAAGCACTGGGGATACAATAACAGGCAAAAGACAGTCCCTGCCCTCAAGGATCTTACGTCGTAGGCCTTTGCACATATTAAGTGCGTAAGGCTTTTGTGGAATTCGTGAGTGAATAAATAAGTGAAATAATAATAATAATTACTAACATTTATATAGTGCTTACTATGTGTCAGGCACTGTGTGAAGTCCTTTATAATTATTACCTGATTTGATCCGGACAGGAATAGAAAGCAGGACCCAGGGAATGGGAGAAAACCTTTGGTTTTTGTAAATGAGACCGCTACTTCTATTGCATCTCATTTCCAGAAAAGGAGATCAGAGATATCAGATCTTTCTAGTCATCTTATTATCAAACAAGTATTTAGTACCTATTATATCTTATCCTCCAAAAGTCTACCCATTTGAGATTTTCCAGAAAACACTCAAAATCCATTCCAACTCTGGTATAATTTTCACACTTTTTTTCCCCCATCACTGTTGTTCAGTCACGTCTGACTCTCCCTGACCCCTTTTGGGGTTTTCTTGGCAGAGATACTAGAGTGGCTTGCTATTTCTTTCTCCAGCTCATTTTACAGATGAGGAAACTGAGGAAAACAGGGTTAAGTGACTTGCCCAGGATCACACAGTTATTAAGTGTCTGAGTCTGGATCTGAACTCAGATCTTTCTGACTCCAGGCCTGGTGCACCTTCCACTATACCATGTAGCTGCCGTCTTATTGTAGGGCAGTTAAAGTCATTTCCAAGGTGTAGACATCAGCTTTCATTGCTCCAGGATGCTGGGGCACTGTAATTACATATGGCATATATGTGAAAAGTGCAAGGGAATAGTCCTTTTGCTTTTCCCTGAGGATTACCCATTATGATTATCCTATGATAGGATCACAGATCTAGGGTTGGAAGGCACCTCACTGGACATCTAATGCAATATGAGAAACACACTTGGAGAGGTTAAGCAATTTAAGGTTATACAAGTAGTAAGTGTCAGAGGCAGGGAAGGGGAGAAAGGGTATCCATATCACCTTAATCACTTATTAATCAAAAAACATTTATTAACGTCTACCGTATGCCAGGCATAAAAGAAAGTATAAGATTCCCATCAAGAACAAGAGAACAAGAACACCAACATTCTGGCGTTCTAATAATAACTAACATTTAAATGGCGCTTATTATGTGCCAAGCACTGTGCTAAATGCTTTACACATACGATCTCATTTGATCCTCCCAACAGCCCTGGGTGGTAGGTGCTATCATTATCCCCATTTTACAGATGACAAAACTGAGGCAAACAAGAATGTATTAACCTTTTGCATTATGCTCATAATCCTTTCAATTTATACTTTAATAATTAATGATCATTTCTATAGGTACAGACCTTTACTGTTTCCAGACCTTTCTCAGGTCCTTACTGTGTACAAGGCTCAATGTTAAATGCCAGGATTTCAATGATGAAAAACAATCTTGTGGGATAGGAAATGATTGTCATCTCCACCTGAAAGTGTTGTCACGTCTGTGTTTGGCCAGATAGGAAGTTTTAGGTGGAATCGGAGGCATAAATCATAGCTCCAGAGAATCTGAGTTGGTAGGAACCCTGGAGGTCTTCTCTTCCAACCCAGGACGCTAGAGTGGAAAACAATAGATTTTGAATCAGAGGACCTGGGTCTGAATCCCAGCTCAGTGGCTTACACAGATAGCCCCTGTGACCTTATTCAAGTCACCTCACTTCTCTATCAGGCAGTAACTTAAGTCAATTAAGCAACTACTGCTACTTAACACTATGCTGAACACTAGGGATATAAAAGAAAGGCAGAGTTGGTCCTTGCTCTCAAGGAACCCACAGTCTCTTAGGAAAGGCAACATGCAAAGAACTATGTACAAACAAGATACAAACAGGATAAACTGGAGAGAATAGATTAATATGTAATAGATAATAGGAGATAATAGGCACTCACATTAAGGTACTTCTTGTAGGTGTTTTTTTTTTTAAATGTGGGCCTCAAGTTACTCATCTATAAAATGGGTGGGGAGAAGATTGAAGTACTTGATTTTTAAGGTGCCTTCCAACTCTAATACCTATGATCTCTGAGGAATGGTCATATAACCTCTGCTTGAAGACCTTTAAGGAAACTCACGTCTCAAGGTAGCCCCTTACACTTTTGCATAGCATTGTTAGGAAGTGTTTCTTTATATACCTACCTCTGTAGCTTCTACCAATTGTTTTTCATTCTGCCTTCTGGGGCCAAACCCCACCCCTCCAAATCGATTCATTATAACACATGACAAAATAACTTTAGACAGTATTGATAGCTATGATGAAGCCTATTAAATCTTTTCTTCAGGCTAAATCAGCCCAGTACTTTCAACCAGTTCTTATATGTCAATTTCAAATCTTCTCACCATACTGGTCAACCTGTTACATATACAAAAATAATAATAGTAACAATAACCAAACACAGTGCTGCATAGATTACATAGGTTTTCAAAGTACTTTACATGTATCACTAGATCCTCATGACCTGTTAAGGGAGATTTGATTATTATCCCCACTTTACAGAAGAGGGCACTAAGGTTCAGAGAGGTCAAATCACTTGCCTATCTAGCATCACATAGGTAGTTCTCTGACAAGAGCTATGACTGTAGCCGCTGCAGGAACAGTGGCCAGGCTGCTTATCTCTCAGGTGCTGCTGCCTAGGACAATGGCTGAGGGCACTGAGCTAGGAGCACTGCTAATCCCAAGGCTCTTGGGCTCTGAGTTCTGGGCTATCTCCATCAGAGCCTGAGGGGAGATGGTGGTTAGAGCGGTGGTAGTGGTGGTTTGCCTTGCCTGGCATTGCTTGCTGTCTCTCTCTCCCTTAGGAGTACTTGCTGCTTCAGCTCCAGCTGGCAGTAGGTGGGGATGGTTGACCTGTTCTCCACAGGAGTGGTTTCCCAGGATAATGGCTGAGGGCACTGTCCTGAAAGCATTGATATTCCCAAGGCTCTAGCATTCAGGGTCCTGGGATGTCTGCGTTAGTCTGAAGGAAGATGGGGGTGGTGCTGTGACTCACCTGGCACCTGATGGCTTGACTTCTCTAAACTTCTTTCTTCATCTCAAAAATGGGACTCCCAAAAACCTGTACCACCCACCTCCCAGGGCTGTTGTGGACCAAGTCCTTTGCAAACTAAAAAGCTATTTAAATGTCAGCTATTACCATTATAGGCAAACTAGCAAATAATTCCCATCTTTGGTATTGGTCTTTGGGCCGTATGATTTTTTTTACAAGATTGACTTTCTTACTAGTGTTTTATTTAGGTTAAAATTAAAATGAGCTTAACTTAGCACAGTGATGGTAAGGGGCAGGTTAAGAGTATGGTGGCCAGTAATCAAGAAGTTTTAAGAACAGAAATGAGAGGCCATATCCTTTCATTCAGTGACCTCACTGGTGGGAACATACCCTAAGGATGTTAATGACAAGTGGGAAGACCTGACAATACAAAAATATTTGCAGCACTGTTATTTATAATATCGAAAAACTGTTAACTATGCAAATATCCATTGACTGAGGGATGGTAGGATCTATTCCCTAGGATTGGAAAGTATTTCCATCTTACCTTTGCCTCTCAGATGGCCCAATTTCCTTTAAAGCTCATGTGCCATCTTCTACTTTTATATCTCCCCCAACCACAATTTACCTTTTAATATATTACAAAGAAAGATGAATGGGGTCATATATAAAAATAACAAAACTGGGTGATGTACACAGATCAGTAGAAAACAAACAAGATGTTAATGTCCTTGTGATTCCTACTCATAAAAAACAAATTTGGAGGGCTTAAATTTTTTTTTTTTTGGTTAGGCAATCGAGGTTAGGTGACTTGCCTAGGGTCATACAGCTTAGTGTCAAGTGTCTCAGGCCAGATTTGAACTCGGGTCCTCCTGACTCCAAGGCCAGAGCTCTATCCACCATGCTACCTAGCTGCCCCAAGGGCTTAAATTCTTTAAAAATTTTTAAACATAATTTCTATGATGTTTACTAGAATGATGGCTATCCCCTTTAGAAAAATTTTTTTTTTTTTTAAAGAATCATCTTCAGATAATTGGGTGTTTCCTCCCACCCCAGACCCCCTATTCCAAACTACGGCTATGTCCTTACTGTCAGGCTGGTCAAGGGATATCCAGCCTCGCTGCCCTGCTACCCTCATTTGAGGGCTGAGAATTAAGCTGATGGTATATTCTTTTCCCCTTTCAGTTCAGCAAATTTCAAGAAAATTAAAATCACACACATTAACTCTGACTATGGATATGGCAAGTGACAAAGTGTTTTTGTTGAAGGTGACAAAGAAAAAAAATACGATAATCAGTTGAAACAATTTTATTTCACAGTTGCCTTTAAAACCTTAAAGACAATATGGTCTTCATATAAAAACAGTAGTGCTGATATCCCATTCTTTCTAGAAAATGATTACATCCTCCCTCTTAAAGAAAATGCACCCAGTTATAACCTTTTAGTTAGGTTTCTTGGAAAAATCCTTCCAGGGCTGATTCCTAAGAACATCTCATTCTGTGACTGCATCTGACTGAAAGCGTGGATAATAACTGGCATATGGACAGAAGTGTTCCTTTTAGATTTGCTAACACAGACAGACTGGCTTATACAGATCAGTGCTCCATGGGTTCGTCAGCCTTCTCTGCAGGTTCATCAGCAGGCTGAGCAGGCTGAAGGGGAAAACACAAAGAATACATTAAGTCAACAGTAACCAAACAGCAGGCAGTTCATTCCATGTAAGTAAACAAAGCCACATTCTGAATTACATTGCGTGGTTTTTCTTTTGTAAAATTATACATTTATCAAATACTGACAACAATCAAAGCCTGACAACAAACTTCGACTAACACATCACATGGATGACTCCCACTTAGTCTTATTGTTCACTTTGATCTCACCTCCTGTCTTTTTCTTCTGTTATTTTCCTTCTTATATTAACATAAGTACTTTTTCATTCCTACAGGAAACTACTTTAAACATTCCTATCAAAACAGAATTTACATCTACCTATTTCTTAATCATCATTTAGTTTGTAATTTGATTATATTTCTGCAAGAAGTTAGAAAAATCTTTCTCTGTGGGCTACAAGATATTTTCTTATGAAGGACATGTTAGAAAAGAAAGTCTTGTTTGCAAGCAGCTCCATGACCTACCTGTGCTTTTCTCTGTGGTCTTTCTTCAAGACCTTCCAGGAAAGGAGACACGTCATCATCATCATAGATTGTGAACTCCAAGTCTTTCCCAACAATTCCAATGGAAACATTCTGGGAAGCAGAATTTCAAAAATATCAAGACACTGTGTAAGCTATGAAATCCCTCGTTAAACTGGTATTAAACTGACCACTCCATCTGGAGATGGAAACAAAATGCATGAATCATGCCAAGACGCACCTGGTTAAGAAAACAAGGAAATTCTTTATTGCATTTAATGGGTTTTGCTTCATTATTAAAAAAAAAAAAAAAAAGTGGATGGTCTGGAAAGAGACAGTTTTACAAAAAATAAAAATCCATTTAAAAAATTTGATGATTTATAAAGTTATATTTTTTAAAAAATTTCTCACTATATCTAGATGTATTTTTTCCTGATTTTTGTCAAATATTAGATAATTGTGAAATATACCAACCACTTCATATGAAACTTTTTCAATTATTAATATCTAGCAAATGGAACAACCTTTTTGATTTATCAGCTAAAAGAAATTTTGGATAGAAACGCACAGAATTAATGGAAAAAAATCTAGGACTCGCTACAACATTAGAAAGACCATAATAATAATTCATCATAAAAAACTTTAAAGTGTACACTGTATGTTCTCATGAAAGCCCTTGCTTGGGAAATTGAGACCCAGGCAGGTTAAGTGTTTCCCTCAATTATGGTCATCTAGTTAGTAATAAGGTAAGTATGAATGGAGGGTATTTGGGGATGGAAGGCACAACTATCAAAACTATATGGTGAGAAGCCAAGAAGCCAAGTTACCTCTTCCCAAGCTGAAAGAACTACATAATCGCTATTTCAGCACCAGTGAAATTTACCTTTGTAGTTAGGTCCTGTTCTGCAGGAAGTGTTTCTCGTAAGGCACGAAGACCATGTTTCACCAACTCATTCAAATTGCCTACAACGGGAAAACAAAGGATGTTGCTTTACTTTCCAAGTCAAACCTCTATTTATCAAGCCTGCCATCTTAAATCCATGTTTTGCTCAAATATTTAGCACTTTTTGGGCAAACCAGCAACCAAAATCAACAACTAGTCACAAGTACTTTACACAAAAAATCATGAAGATCACCTAATAATCAAGATTGGGATTGCCTTCTGGAGAAAACACTTGATGGTTTCTTCAGTTTGTTTTAACTATGCTAGGTTAAACTGAAGTCCTGTAAGACACACTCTATATAACCGAGCCACACAAATGAGCCGGCCAGGTGAGCGTTGCCTCTTCAACTTGCTTCTCTAATTCCCCTCAGTTCTTACTAAGTTCTCTCCAAGGTGCCCATAAATGTGAAGAACAAAATGGGCTCAGTTTAAAAAAGAAATCAGACAAAAGGCTCAGGGAAATGGAATAAGCTCTGCCTCTGCCCCTTGCTTTCCCACTCCTCTTCCCTCCCCCCTCTAAAGGGAAGTAGAGCTTTGGTCAATCTCATCTCTTCTCTCTCCTTTTCACTTGTGGTGGGCTGGACGGTGCTGATTATGGCCAGAATGTGGGCCTGGCGAGCAGTGGGAGCAGAACCTCAGGCTTCGGGAAGGGCCTCTGGCGACAGAGTAAAGACCTGAGTAGGCAGGGGCAAGGAAAGGAAGGGAGGCCCTATCTGTGGCAGGACACTTCAGCACTGGGAATCTTTTTCTAAGGCTCATTATCTTCTTCATTAAGGAGACTGTAGCTTTTACCCTCTTATTAAGGAGCTGAAAAAGAACAAGCCTATGACTTACAGTCACTGAACTTGGACATACACCTCTCCAAGTAAGTACGGGCCGACTGGGAGCGGGCTCCAATGGACATAGCCCGACAGTCAAAGTAGTTTGCAGACGGGCAGGTTTGGAAGATGTGAGGACCCATATCCTGCAGAAAGGAAAATATGTTAACTGCTTCAGTTAGATGTGTATGAAAAGAAATTCCATGATGTTTATGATAAGTTTAGGTACAGTGGTATTAAAAGGTATACTGACAAGCTTTTAATTTCTTAAACACAAAGTACATGGTAATTTTACATTTTGCAATCTGGAAAAAAGATAAAAACAAATACTATTTTGCTTAAATAATTTTGTAGACAGACTACAAATGCCTCAAAAGGAGACAAATTACAGAAAACCCCCAACCAGAGTTAGCCAGTTTTGTTTTTGTTTTGCAAGAAATATGTAGGGCTTGTGTATAAAACATGCTGGCACCAGAGGGTTTAGTATTAAAAAAAAAAAAAAAAGGCCCTGCTACACTAGCCCACCACCCCAACTTTTGGTGTGTATGCACTCAGCTCAAGCAGCTAGGTGGTGCAGAGGACAGATCACTGAACCTGAAGTCAGGAAGGCCTGAGTTCAAATCTTGCCTCAGACACTTGGTAGCTAAGTGATTCTGACCAAGTCACTTAACTGCTGCCTGTCTCAGTTTCCCCATCTGTAAACTGAGGATATTAACAGCACCTACCACCCAGCGTTGCTGTTGTAAGAATCAAATGAGATAATAACTGTAAAGTACTATGAAAATTGCTAGCTATTATTATAATTGCTAGTAAGTGTCTATTATTCCATGTAATTACCAATGAAGTTCAGAATGGCAGTTCAAATGTAACAAAATATCCAACATTAAGAATTCAGTTTTTTTCTCCAGGATACTGTCCCTACTATAGCAGAAAAGTAGACTTGCAGTTCAGAAAGATTTTCAATAAGAGTGGTTGAAACAAACAAACTAAATTTTTGTCTGGTTAAAATGCATCTTAATAAAAATTCAATTAAACTACCCAGCCCATTCTCTTAACATTTCAGTTAAGTAAAGTTTGAATGTGCCTTTTTGCTTCAGACAGTGGTTACCATACATGTGAATAGGTTAAAGATCTGAGATTTCTGTCCTCAGCACAAGGCCTTCTGGTGTGGGAACTCCTTCCACCTGCTTCATTATGACTTACCAGAAAAGTCCAAGGGAGTTGCCTCAGGCACACAGGACTAAGGTGATTTGCCTAATGGCCACAGGGCCAGTAAGGGTAAGAGGCAGGATCTAAACCTGAACCTTGCTGACTCTAAGCTCAGTACTCTATCCGTAACACCACATTGCCTCTGATATATATACAAAATGTTATTATAATTACGAGAGAGACCACTTTATAAAGCAAAGCTACTTCAAACAGTTAATTTCACTCAATGGAAATGAGTCTGTACTTACGTCATACCCAGCGATGAGCAGTCCCACGCCATATGGTCTGCGGCCATAACGCTGGGTCGGTATCTGGGTCTCTTAAGTCTAGTTAAAGACTTTTTCCTGATGTGGATGAGCTGACTATGTTTCTTTTTGAGATGCCTTCCTTAATCTAAGGAAAGATCTGACTCTAGGGATGTCATGTTTAGCTCTTAAATTTTATACCATCTTTACAACAAACAATAAAGGTCCCCCTAATGTAGAGTTTCCATTTTTGGAATCATCTCATTTTTAATTTGATAAAACACAATGATCTGAGTCCTCTCTTTAGACTGAAATTCCACATTTTGTGTTCTTCATCAAACAAAAGCATAAATCCCTAAGAACTCTCTTTTCTCATGAAGGATGGATGCCATTACATGGTGCTGTGTTTTCAGGAAGCATGGATATCATGCACTATTTGGGATGGTCTGCTCGGATTAAAAATCTCCAGTTTTCACACAGCTCCAGGAACAGCGTGTACATACGTATGCACATGCAGGATTCTAGGGAACGTTAGTCGTTTTCAGAGATGTGGACAGAAGCAACTAAATCCCTTGTCTTAAAACACATTCACAATCTATTGTACATTACCCTCCATGTTCATACCCATAATTATTAACACAAAAAGATACTGCTTCCAATCAGAGACACTAGGCGAGACACAGGAAGAGGTCTGTCAAACACAAATCTGGAATCCAGACACTCCTGACGCATGAAGTTGCTAGAAAACAAACAAGAAAACTAGAATTTTAGATCCCAAGACAGTTTCCTCAGATTAATACATTAGTTTAACCACATGGCTTTGGGGGATTTTTTTCAGACTCACAGGAATCAGGGAGATTCCCTTTCTCAAATTGCCTTTTGAAGCCAAGAGGTCAGAAATATTATATCAAATAAAATTAAATGCACTCAATATTCCAGACCAGGCATTCCTTACCTGGAGTTCATAGATCCTTGAAGGCGTTGATGTGAATTTAGATGGGAAAAAAATTACATCTTTATTTTCAGTAACCTCTAAATGACATTTAGCATTTCTGTCAATTATTTTACATCATTATTCTGGGAAGGGGTCCATTGGTTTCACCAGACTGACAAAGGGGTCTGGGACTCAATAAAAGGTGAAAAACTCCTGTTCTGGACCTACCAGGGCAGATTGTCTCCACTTGAGAGTTCTAAGAGAACTAAAAAAGGAAACTATCAAGAGTGGCTGGAAGGTGTTACCAAGAGTGTGGCCACTCCTGTCTTTCTGATGCTCCTATCCAAAAGAAGAGTGTTAGGGGATAGATGGAAGAACCTACTGCTATGCCTGACAATACCTAAGTAAACAACTCATCCAAGGGAAAGGCAACAACATGATTTTGAAAGAGAAAAATAATTTCTGACTAATCTGCTTAAGTTTTTTAATAGGACAAAAATTGCCCTGGTTTTCCCCCTGCCAAGGTCACTCTCATTGTCAATAGCTATACCCACGGTTCTCTCCTGGGTCTGTTCCCCTCAACTCTACCTGCTGTGGAGATCTTCCTGCCTTCCATGGGTTCAAATATCATCTCTTTGCTGATGACTCCTGAATCTACATATCAAGCCTCAGTTTTTCTTCTGACCTCCAGAACCACATTACCAGCTGCTTGCTGGGTACTGATTAGAGAATAACGCACTGGACCCGGAGTCAGGGATACCTGGGTTCTGATCCCACCTTAGAAACTTCCTTAGCGATATGACTCCAGACAAGTCACAACTTCTCTAGGCCTCAGTTTCCCTCACCTGTAAAATGAAGAGTGGGACTCAACCTCTGAGGCCTCTTCCAGCTCTAAATCTCCTATGTCTATGTAAAAATGGCTATCGTCTTTTCCCCCAAACTCCCCTCCTTGCCAACTTCTATATTTCTGTTGAGGGTATGGCTCAGCTCCAAAGTCTAGGAGTCACCTTTGATTCTTGGCTCTTCCTCAATCCCCAGGTGTTGTCTGTTCTTTCTCCAAAGCACTTACACACCATCCCCTTCTCACTGCTCGCTAAGCCATCACCTTGGTTCAGCTTTTCATCATCTTTCCTGGACTACAGCAATACTCCCCGAGCTGATCCCTCTCTTCAGCAGATCCCTTCCCCTATCCACCCTCCGTAAAGATGCCAAACTAATATTCTTGACATACAGGATGGAATGTGTCTGCTCCTCTCAAGAACTTTCAGTGGCTCCCTACTGCCTCCATTATCAGACACAAAGTCCTTCACAATCTGACTATAACCTATCTTTCCAGACTACGATCATGTCCCTCCCCCCATTCACAATACACTCCAACCAGACCAGCCCACGGCCAGCATTCCTCCTCCTCTCCTGCCCCTGGGCCCAGAAAGCTCTTCCTCCTCACCTCTGCCCTTTGGGATTCTTACGGCTCCCCGAGGCCCAGCTGAAGAGCCATTACCTTCATGAGGTCTTTGATCACGCTCTCTCTCAACCTCAAAGCGCACCATTCCTTTGTGCGGCTTTTATATTTACTTATGGAAGCTTCTTGAGGGCAGGGACTGTTTTGTTTTTGTATCCTCAGTCCCTGGCAGGTGCTTTTTACTGATGGGTGCTTAGTAAATGCTTGTGGAATGGGATCGGAAAGTATGTACACGTACAGAGACAACCGTGATCCAGGGCCTGTGATACACAATGCCCTTGGCTGGTTCCTATGAGGGTACGAAGGAACAGAAAACAGGGATGGCCCTGTGCACTCAAGGAATTCAGCTAGATTAGTGGAAGGAGCAGCAAGCACCCAGGTAAAGATGTTCCAAATTAGAATAGGATATGAGAAATACAAAGTACTATGTGATCAGAGGACGAATCAAAGCCTCCGATAAAAGAAGGTGCTATGGGCTTGTTGGGGATAGGTGAGTGGTTCAGGAGACTGAGCAGAGATACAAAAACACTTCTCCACTCCAGAGATCACCCACCCCAGAGACTAGTGTTAGGGCTGGATTTATTTCTAATTTTTATAAATAATCTTGAAGAAGAAAGTACACAGATAACTTTCCAAGTTTGCAGCTCACACTGAAATCTCCTAGGAGTAAAATGCTAAGTCATAGTGGGGGGGGGGGGGGGTGTGTGTGTGTGTGTGTGTGTGTGTGTGTGTGTGTGTGTGTGTGTGTGTGTGTGTGTGTGTGTGTGTGTGTGTGTGGCAATCAGGGTTAAGTGACTTGCCCAAGGTCACACAGCCAGCACGTATTGAGCACACAGCGGTATGCTAGAAGTTCTCAATCAACACTGGCTGAATTTTATTGAATAAACCGTAGGAAGCTCTCCTGAGGATGTGTGAACAGGCAGAAGAATAGCAGACAAGCTTCATGTGGAGCAGTGAAGTATGTTTAAAGAAAACTATTCCAGGTTATACTCATTAAAAATACAGCTGAGGAAAGGGGCAGAGGAGCCACTGCTGAGAGTTCTTTAGGCATCAGCTCAATGTGCTGCTGTGGCCAAGATAAAGCCAACATTTGAGTGTTTCTTGCTAGCCATTGGATTGATAAAAAGTTTAGCTAAGACAGAGGCCCTGGCCAAGAAAATGCTGGGCATCAGCAAAACTTGGGAACCAGGGGAAAAAAAAAACAAACAAACCCAAAGCAGATGACACTGTGATCCTATCTGTGTAGGAAACCATGGTATATTTGCCTTACACGAACAATTTTAGCTGCTGCATCTTAACAAAGGGGCTGCTGTTGATCCTCTGTTTTCAAAGAGGACCAATGACATCATGGGTGATATCTTGATTCCTGGGAGAACTGGATTTAAGTGAGGCAGAGCTGTACAAAGTCATCAGCTTCACTATCTCTTCCTGAGTCATCAAAGTCTAGTGGCAGGACAAAAGTCAGAACAACTGTCAATGGCCTGGGATACAGTGGATGACACTGGCATCTTTAATGCCTGACCAAGCTCTAAGTGCTCCAAAGCACCTACTTCAGCTGCCTTCACGGCCATTGGAACAAACTGTTCTCATGTGCCAGTTCCTTAGGGGCAAGTCCTCACATGCTGGGGTAGACACCCCCCTAACTCACAGATGGGAGTGAAGCCTCATGGTTATCGTCACCCTGCTCTGGCCCGTCTGTTGAGACAGTTTTAGTGAGGTGTGGTCCTGCTTATGCTACGGCTTCTTGGGGCCACTGATGGGAGCTGGATGAAGGTGGATACGACAGGTGCCCTGAAAAGGGGTCAGCAAGCCCTCACACAAGAGGCGCTCGTCCTGCCTGAACACCATGGAAAGAAGGTCCAGAAAAAAGCAGTTGAAGAGATCAACAAAGCAACACAGTAGGAAAAAAATGCTAGACCAGGAGTCAGGAGCCCTGACTTACAATACCATCTCTGTCACTAATCAATTACATGACTGGATAAATTGCAAGAAGATTGGACTAAAACTCTATAATTCTACGAAGAGTACTTTGCCTAAGGATGTACTAAAAATGGTCAAAACTTAGATGTGGAAAGGTGGATAAGACAAAAAGGATATGAACAGTCTCCAGAACTATAGCCCAAGTACCCTAAAACTCAAAAAGACTAAACACAGACTTCTCTGATAAATCCCAGAAAAATAGGGAGCAACCTTTGAAGCTTGAAAGCATTAGTTTCTCTGGCATTCTAGAATACTATCTGAATTGTCCCGCATGGTCCTCTAAGAATGTGCTCCTTTAGAGGGTGGCAAAACAAACTGTTGAAAATATAAATGATATGTAACAAATGTTTATGATATACAGACACACATAGGCCCAAGGAGAGTTTATATGATAACCTCTTATGGATCTGTCATCCATGAATTTAAGTGAGGCCAGGAATATCTGGAAAAAAATTTCAATCTTTTGAAGACAACCATGCCCTCCCACAATCCTTCTCTTGGTGCTAATGTCAAAGTGAACGAAGTGTTTGTCTGATGCAAAATGATATTTCTAAAAACAGAGATATTCTGTATCATCCAAAATATTTCTGGTAAATGAGTCCTCTGCATTTCAAAATGTAATCTGGACTAATTTTACAGCTGCAGAGAAATAAACTATTGACTAAATGATATATATTCACCTAGTTATTCTCAAAAATAAATAGGTGAATAAAGTGGCATGCTTCTGTGTGTGTGTGTGTGTGTGTGTGTGTTGAAGACAAAAACTTTTGTTGCCTGGATTGAGATGAAAACTAACATTAGGCTTCCATCTAACTTTCTATTACTAAGATGAATGACTTGAATACATGTCTCTGCCTTGATTGCTATTTGAAAATTTGTTGATCCTGACTCCGTAAGTAAAATGTAAACATATATTGGACACATTTTATTTCTAAAAATAAGTTTTGATATTTCTTTGGGCAGAGTCAAAAAGTAAAAAAGAAATCAAACAAGACAGATCCAACTTGCTCACTATCTGTCTGGTTGACCTGGAGGAAGGGGAAGCTCTCTTCTAGCAATATTTAAATAGAGTTGTCATCATCCTGGGCTTAATGCTACACTCCTATGGCAGCTCTAGGCTGGCATCAATGACTTTACCATTTAATTAGGAAACTACTAAAGCCACAGCCCTCCATAACCAGCCAGGTCCCAGGATTTCACCTATTCTCTGCTGTGACCATCAAGCAGAATGAGAACCTCTCTATCTACCCTGCCACTGCACACATATACACTCTCCTCTACCTCTTGCTGATGGGTGGATAAGCATCACCACTGTGAAGGGTGCAACAACCTACTGCCCTATGGCTCTACTTGGAACCTCGAGATTCTCTGGCACCATGTGCTCACCTGTGCTCATCAGCTCCCTCCCTTTCCTCATCCCCATCCCACTCCATCTTAATCTTCCACTGTACCCTCTGGAACTCTCATTCCATTGTTAACAAAATTCCTTTAGACCTGTGCTCTTCCAAGAAAAATGTACATGTAACACCCCCCCTCCCAGAGAATGCAAACTCTTTGAGGGGAGGTCCAGTTTCATCTTTATCTTTGCATTCCAGGTGCCCAGAACAGTTCTTGACACACAGTAGGTGCTTAATAAATCCTTGTCCAATTCTTGCTAAAGGTGGCAATCCTCTAAGTGTGTGACAGCTGTACATGGGACAGTTAGCACTGACACAGCACTCTGAGGTTTGCGAAGTGCTTTACACCTGTTATCTCACTTAATTTTTACAATAACCCTGTAAAGAGATGCTATTATCCACATGTTACAGATGAGGTGACTGAGGCTGAGAGAAGTCAAGCACCTCGTCCAGAGTCCCATAGCCAGTGGTCAAAATAATGCTAACCAATCCCATTTCTATAGCACCTACTCTGCGCCAGGCCCTGTGCTAAGTGCTTTTCAATGACTGTCTCATCGCATCCTCACCACAGCTCTGGGAGGCAGGTGCCATCATTAGGATGAGGAACCTGAGGCAAACCGGGATTAAATGACTTGCCCAGGGTTCCAAAGCTGGTAAAAGTCTGAGTCCAGATTTGAACTCAGGTCTCTCCCCCATCTACACAGGGTACCTCCCAAAGAGCTCTCAGGTGCAATCACACTTCTTCAAATGTCCACAGAATCATAGGATTTGGGTTTGGAACGAACTGCAGAGATCACCAAGAGGAGTGTCAAACTCCAACAGCTACAGGTCCCTGTGGATAGCATATCAACTTCTATTTCTCAATTACAACTGAATCTGGTTCAGGCAGGAGGCGGCCTGTGTGCACGATGCCTCTGATCTGGTCCAACTCCGTTAGCTTAGAGAGCATCTGGTGCCTGGCACTCTATCAAACTGCTTCCTTCTCCAGAGTAGTTACATAAAATCATTAGACGTGGTTTTGGCCATCTCTCAAAAACATAAATACTAATCTGAGTATCATTTGGCCAAACTTGTCGCCACACCATTTCAGAAATGAGATTATTATTCTAGCATGGAAATAGCCTAAAAAACATTCTGTACTCACCACAAGAGCCTAGCATCAGCAGTGAGCCCAGCAATTGAGATTCCAATATGATTATCAACATGGAGAATTTTTTTCTGATGAGCTGCCAATTCTGACTGTGCCCTCTACAAATGCAGAGACAGTAAAGAAAAAGAAAATAAACTTTAGTCTGTTATGGCTTACTCTGCAGTGAAATTTGAAGTTATAATGGTTTCTAAAAATGTGAAATATTGATTCTGAAAATTTGACTTTCTACTTTACTTACTTTCAAAGCAACCAGTACAGCATGGGTTTTGGATTTCAGGCCCACAGTAGCTGAGCCTTGTTTGACAGCTTCCATTGCATATTCTATTTGATGAATTCTGCCCTAAAAGAGAGGGAAAAAAAAGAAATGCTATTGATAAAAAATAGATATCCTAGAAAACTCTGTAACATAAGATTAGTGTGTTATTTTATAGTTGAATCAGGTCTTTTAATTTTTTGTATTAACTTTCATTTTAGTAATAAATATGAAGTTCCAGTAGAAATCTATCATCTTCCATTTACTCAATGAGATTATGCCATATGACAGGATCTCATGAGGTGTGTTTTGAATATACTCTTAATACCACCAAGATATTGCCAATAGTTGAAAAGGAAGGGAATGTTTTTTTTTTTTTACCTGAGGGCTCCAAACAGTGACATCATTGTCATACTGGTTTCGAAACTGAAAGCAAAGGAAACACTCCATTAAATATAAAAGGCATTACTGCAAATCTTAGCTATTGAACTGACAACACACAGCTTCTCTTTTTCTATTTAATTTTTAATATTAATTACAAAATATATTTATTTCATTTACTATTTCCCAATTGCATTAAAAAAACTTTTAACATTCATTTTTAAAAATTCTGAGTTCCAAATTCTCTCCCTCCCCTCCCTATCAAGAAGGCAATCAATATATTAATTGTACGTGTTAAGTCAAGTAAAACATCGCATGCTGCAAAACACATACCCTTTCTCAAATTTCTATCGTATCCTAACTCAGTTAACAGAATGCTTACAGGTTCACAGCATTCAGAGCTAGAAGGGATCTTAAGACATCAACTCCCCTGCTTTTAGAGAGGAAGAAGCTGGACTAGAGAGATTGTACCCTGCTCCAGGTCTCTTACATAGTAGTAGCCTACCTTTGTGTAACTGAACCTAGGTCCCCTAACTTGAAATCAGGAGCTCTTTTCATGCTACTATAAGGGTGCCCCAGGACAAAGGAGGAGTGAAAGGAAAAGCAGAATCCAGCCTGACTCTCAATTGTCTGAAAACCGAAACATCTGACCAGAAAGGAGGATGTCACTGGAGAATGCCACACAATAAGGGTCCCAATTCTTAAGTTTTCAGGAAACTGAGAGGCCGTGTCAATGGAAAAGAAGGAAACAGACAAGAGCAACCAACATCAATCCAGGTGTTTGAAAAGTCTCTGGGCCATCCTAAGTGCCTGCTCGGCAAAGATGCCCTATGACGGTGTCAGAAGCTTTCAGGGACCCCAGGGAGAGCATGACGGGCAGGTCTTCATGTAGAGGGAGCAAAATAAAACAGAGGGGGGAGGGGGAGGGAGTGTGGTGCAGTGGGGGGCAGGGGACTGAGGGGTGTCTGGGGCTCTGCCACCAATAACTCTGCTAGGTCACTGTGGGTTAGTCGTTTCCCTCTCTGGTCTGTTTCCTTTAATGAAAGTAATGATGATGATCATAGCTAACGTTTACACAGCGCTTCCTATGTGCCAGGCGCTTTACAATGACTATCTCCTTTGGGGGTGCAGGGGGGTTTCTTCTCCAAGGCTCTGGCAAGGCCCGAGGGATCAGAGATCTTTGGGGACAGTTACGAGGGTCTCTGGGTTAGACTCTTCCCCACTCTGGGTCTCACTTTCTCCGGAAGTCACAGGAGGATGGACAGGAAGGCTGGGGAGCAAAGCGGAGAACCCGCGGGGGGATGGGAGCGCACGGCCCCGGGGCAAACAGAACCCCTGGGGACGGAGGGACACCCGGGCGTTCCACCCGCGCTAGAGCCGGCGGGGCCCCCGGGGAAGGAGCCGAGGCCGAGGGCCCGGGGCCGCCGACGGGAGGGCGGGCAGGAGCAGGCCGCGGGCGCCGAGGCCGGGCTGGGCCGGCATCCGGGACGACGTGCTGAATCACGGCTTCCTCACCAGGCCGAGGAGGCCGGCCTGCTCCTGCCCGCCGGCTCTCCCCGGCCTCGGAGGGATGCGTTTGCCGACCCAGGCCTCCGGGGTCCCCCCAGGATCCCTCACCCACACCCCTTCCGCGCTCTTCCAGACGCACCATTTTCTCGGGGCTGGCGGAGCGGAGACCACCAGCGGAGCGGCGGGACCAGGCAAGGCGGCTGCTGCTGCTCGGCGCACGACACAGCGGGTCTGCGGGGCGGGGCGACGGCGGCTACGGCGCAGGCAAGAGCAATCCAGGAGAGAGACATCGATCGACTCCATCGCTTTTCCTCCTTCCTCCTTCCTCCCCCCGCCCCCCGCATGAATGAGAGTGAGACTCAGTCTGGGCGGGAAATCCCCGCACTTCCGCCCGAAGTGCGCGAGGCCCCAGCACGGGGCCTCCGGGCCCAGCCCCCAGGGCCTTCCTCACACTCCGGTCCCTTCCCGCCCAGGCGGCCTGAGGGGGCCCTAGCTGGGGCTGCGGCGCGGCAGGCCTCAGTTTCCTCCTTTGTCAAAGGAGAGAGGCCTAGCAGATTTGGGAGGCCCCTGCCCGGGCCTGGCCCTGTGCAGGCACCAGAGGAGATTTCTGTCCTGAGGGATGCCGGGTATTTATGTACGTGCCTGTATAGATAAATGTTGTCATGCCTATTAATAACCTAACCCATTAATAAACCTCAGAGGGCTATAAAAACGGCAGCGATTTCCAATATGTTCAATTCAGCAAAGTAGGGAGAGTAATCATACGTGATGCCGTGATTGATGGGATACCTTTTTTTTTCTTTTGATACTTTTGATATTTTTGTGATATTTTTGATACTCGGAATCGCTGTGATGTACCGAGTAGGTAAATAAACAAGTTGGAGACGTTGCCCAGCCTAGTGACTAAGACTAGGGGCTGTGGAGTCAGCGAGACCCGGGTTCGAGGGCTGCCTCTACCACATATTAATGTGAGACCCTGGCCAGGTCGCCTGACTCCTTACTTCTAAGAGTGCGAGTTACAGACAAATTTCCAATGATCAACTTTGGGTGGATGGTGCTTCCAAACTGTGTTTCTTATAGTGACGAAATCATACAGCCAGACAATAAATAAATGGATATATACTGTTGGCATATTGTTATGTGTAGATATTTAAGTAGATAGCAGAGTAGCACAGGCAGCTAAAATCAACAAGCATTTATTAAGTGCTTACTATATACCAGGCATCATGTTAAGTTCTGGGGATACAAAGAAATGCAAAAACAGTCCCTGGCCTTGTGGAGCTTACAGTTTAATGGAGGAAACAACCTTATTAAAGGTATTAGAAGGAATCAGGCAAGGTTTTGCAAAAAAAAAAAAAAAAATTCTCCAAAGTAGACATCTTTTCTCTTTAGAAGGTGAACTTGAGGACAGAGACTGTTTCTGAGATAGTGATATTATTACCTCTCATGGGCTTAATTATCATATCTATGCAGGTGACTCACAAATCTATTCATCCATCATTAGCCTCTCCTTTGAACGTTAGTCATTACTAATTGGATGTCCCCGGGACATCTTAAACTCAACACATTATATTACCCACTAAACCACCTCTCTTAATAGTTTCTCATTCTTTCAAAGGTACCACCATTCTTCCAGTCTACTAGGTTTTTGACTTTAGCATTTTCCTTGATTCCCCACTATCTCTCATCTTACATATTTAATCAATTGCCAAATCTTGTTCTTTCGGTTTTCACAACATCGTTTGCATCTGATCCATTCCCTACTCACAAAGCTACTACCTTGGACAGGTCCTCATCAGCTTTCATCTAGGCTATAGCAACGCCCTACTAACTGGTCTCCCCGCACCAAGTCTCTCCCTACTCCATCCTCTGCACAGCTGCCAAATTGATATTCCTTTTTTAAAAAATGTAAATAGTATTTTATTTTTTCCAATTACATGTAAAGATAATTTTCAAGATCCATTTTATAAGATTCTGAGTTCCAATTTTTTTGCCCTCCCTCCCCTCCCCCCTGCCCAAGACAGCAAGCAATTTGGTATAGGTTATACATGTGCATTCGTATAAAACATATTTCTACCAAATTAATATTCCTAAAGAGCAGGTCAGATGATATCTGCCCCCTGCTCAATAAACTCCAGTGGCTCCCTGTTTCCTCTGGAATAAAATAAAAATCCCTGTGTTTATTTTTTAAAGCCTTCATAACCTGATCTCAACCTGCCTTTCTACCTTTACAACATCTCTGCTATGCATATCCTTTTTCTCCAGTCCCACTGTCACCATCCTGGTATAGGTTCTAATCACATGCCTAGACTATTGAAAGAGCTTTCTGGTTGATCTCCCTTTTTCAAGAGTTTCCCCATTCCAATCCATCTTCCACTAAGCTGCTGAAGTGATTTTCCCAAGGTGCAGATCTGACCATATCACCTCTCTACTCAGTAAACTTCAGCGGTTTCCTATTAACTGGAAGATCAAATATAAAATATCCTGTTTGGCATTTAAAGCCCTTCACAAACTGGTCTCTTCCTGTCTTTCTAGTCTTCCTGCTTATACTTCTTCACTCATATTTTATGATCCAACAACAGCTGCCTCTTTGCTGTTTCGTGCACACAGCACTCTGTCTCTTGACTATGGATTTCATTGATTGTCTCTCATGTCTGGAGTTCTCTTCTCTGTCACCACTCCCTACCAGTTTCCCTGGCTTCCTTCAGGACAGTTCAGATCTCACTTTCTTTAGGAGTCCTTTCCTGGTTCTCCTTACCCCCTCATACTAGTTCCTTCTCTCTCAAATTACCTTTAATCTACTCTCTTTATGTGATGTAGGTACATTGTTGTTTGCCTGTCCCACCCTCATTCCTTGAGGGCAGGAACCATGATTTTTTTTGTTTTTTGTTTTCGTCCTATCCTCAGTACTTAGAACAGTGCCTGGCACATAGTAAGTGCTCAATAAATTCATGTTGACTATCATTCCAGAGTTATACATTACTCATCTTCTCAGACTCTGAGATCCAGTCACCTCTGCCTCTCTGTTCCTCACACAGACAAACTCACAAACCTGAAATTTACTTCCTTTTTTCCTCCACCTCATGGAATTCCCCCTCTTTTTTCAAGCTGCAGCTCAAGCTATCACCCTCTTTATAGGCCCTTCCTCATCCTTCCATCTCTACAACTACCATATATTTAACTACTTTGTATATTTTGTTCTTTCTATCTATTCTATGTATGTGTATGCATATACATCTGTATATATATGTATGTGTACATACACAAATGTATATGTGTCTATTTATTTATGGCCTCCCTGTTAGAATGTGAGCTCTTTGAGTATCTCTAGGACCTATATGTCACAGTGCCTCACCCATCATGAGCACTTAATGTTTGTTAAGTGATTAGTATATAAACAGTTTTATGTGTAAAAAGTCTATTTTGTTATAGTTATGCAAATATTAATCATAATTCCTGTTGTATATGAGAAGATTCTTGTTCAGGTATAGGTTGAACTAGTTGATCCTTAAAATCTCTTCCGATTTTGAGATCTGATAGTTTCTTAGAGCAGATTTCAGCAGGCAAGGAAGACAATAGATAACAATTTCTTTCTTTCCACTTTCTTATACTTCATACTGACTGAGAGTAGAACAGACTGCCTCATAAGGTAATGAGCTTCTTTCACTGAATGTCTTTAAGTCATGCTGGATAACATGTCAGAGATGCCATAGAGGGGATTCTTGTTCTGGTATGGATTTCACGGGATAACCTCTGAGATCCCTTTCCAACCTTGAAATTCTATAGTTCTGATTCTTATATATGGAAGTCCTTCATTAATATTCTCTGATTTTTCCTTGAGGTGTGGAGATGACCCTGACTCCTTGAGCCTTATACCACTGGAATACAAGCTCTAGTAAATTACCTACCCAGCTGTAAATGTTTTGAGCAAAGTCCTGGTAATGGATTCAGTATTACCTAAGTCCACCCTAGCTGACCAACAGAAGATTGACCAACAGATGATAATAACAATAGCTGTCTTCTATATAATTTTAAGGTTTGAGAAGTGCTTTAAGTATTTTATGTCCTTGATGACTTCCAGATTTGTATGTACACTTTCATCTTTTTTCTGTACTCCAGTTGCGCATTTCCAATTATCTGCTTACTATCTCCAAGTCAGTGTCCCAGAGGTATCTCAAACTGAATATGGCCAAAGCAGAGCTTATCTTTCCTCCTAAACTGATTCCTCCTCATAATTTCCTTATTTCTTTCCAGGATAACACTATTATTTCTGTCACCCAAGTTTGCAACCTAAGAGTCTCCCTTGACTCTTCTACTTTCACGCCCCACATCCAGTCAATTGCCAACTTGTTGGTTTTGGCTTCTCATTCCTCGGGTCCTTTTTTCTACTCAAACAATCGTAACCAGTGCAAGTCCTTACCCCGTTTCATCTGGACTATGGCAATAACTTCCGAATTGGTTGTCCTCAATTCTTGGTCTTCTATGTAGCTGTCAGATCAATATTTCTAAAGTGCAGGTCTGATTCTGTCACTTCTTTGCTCAAGAAGGTTCAGAAACTCTCTATTGCCTTTAGATTAAAAAACAAACTCCTCTATTTGTCTTTTAAAGCCATTGCTTAGTCTCGCCCCAGTCTGACCTGGACCTAGTCCAGGGTGACCACGTTTTCTGCACTGACCAGACTTGCCTCTTTGCTATTCCCTGTGTACAGCATTCTGTTTCTTGCCTCAGCGCCTTTGCAGAAGCCTGGAATTCTCTTTTTCCTCGCTTCTGCCTCTTAACTCCTAGCTCCCTTCAAGACTCCTTCAAGAGATCTTTTCTTGGGGCGGCTAGGTGGTGCAGTGAATAGAACACTGGCCCTGGAGTGAGGAGGACCTGAGTTCAAATGTGGCCTCAGACATATAACGCTTACTAGCTGTGTGACTAGCAAGTCATTTGACCTCAATTGCCTCACAAAAAAAAAAGTGAAATAAAAAAAATAAAAAGATAAGATGTGGAATAAAGGACAGGTTTTAAGGGGCAGCTAGGAGGCGCAGTGGATAGAACACCAGCCCTGGAGTCAGGAGGACCTGAGTTCAAATCTGGTCTCAGACAGACTCTTGACACTTATTAGCTGTGTGACCCTGGGCAAATCACTTAACCCTACTTGCCTCACCAAAAAAAAAAAAAGAGATCTTTTCTCATTCCTTCTGTTGTTAATACACTCTTCCCCCCCCCAAAAAAAATTACTGTGTACACATACAT